CTGGACTGAAAAATACATTAGCTGGCATGGTGCACGTGCCTGTAATCCCAGCTACTCAGGAGGCTGAGGCAGGAGAATTGCCTGAACCAGGAGGCGGAGGTTGCGGTGAGCCGAGATCGCGCCATTGCACTCCAGCCTGGGTAACAAGAGCGAAACTCCGTCTCAAAAGATGGGCAATACCCTCAAAGGCAAGAACGCGTGGGTGCCAGGGTAAAGGGTATGTGAGGCATCCCTGCCCTGAGCTGGGATTCTGAGGTCAGAGGGCCCAGGCCCCTGCAGGCGGGCAGAGAACTGCAAAAAAATCCCTGGATGATGAGGGCCAGCCCTGGAGGTACTTGGAGGCAGGAAGGTCTTTTTTAATATAATTAATTAATTTTTTGAGATGGAGTTTCACTCTTGTTACCCAAGGCTGGAGTGCAATGGCGGCAATCTTGGCTTACCGAAACCTCCCCCTCCTGGGTTCAAGCAATTCTCATGCCTCAGCCTCTGGAGTAGCTGGGACTACAGGTGTGTACCACTATGCCCGGCTAATTTTGTATTTTAGTAGAGACGGGGCATCACACATAGCTGACCAGGATGGTCTCAATCTCTTGACCTCGTGATTCACCCGCCTCGCGCCTCCCAAGTGCTGGGATTATTAGGCATAAAGCTACCACGCCCGGCCACAGGAAGGTCTTTGTCCTCCACATCCCTCATTCCTGCTGGCACTGGCTGGGCATTCGTCCTTTTCACATTCGCTAAGCCCCCTAGAGCTCTGCTGTCCAACCAAGCAGCCACTAGACACACGTAACTGGCTCACATTAAAGATTTACTTTCGCCACACACATGCCAGTGTCTCCCTGAACAGCAAACACAGCTATACACTATGCCCCCCCCCCTTATTTTTTAGACGAGTTTCCCTCTTGTTACCAGGCTGGAGTGCAATGGCGCGATCTCGGCTCACCACAACCTCTGCCTATCCTGGGCTCAGACAATTCTCCTGCCTCAGCCTCCTGAGTAGCTGGGATTACAGGCACGTGCCACCACGCCCAGCTAATTTTTTGTATTTTTAGTAGAGACGGGGTTTCACCATGTCGACCAGAGATGGTCTCGATCTCTTCGACCCTCGTGATCCACCCACCTCGGCCTCCCAAAGTGCTGGGATTACAAGCTTGAGCCACCGCGCCCCTGGACCCCTTTTCATTTTTTTGAGATGAGGACCTCACTATGTTGCCCAGGCTGCACTTTAACTCCTCCTGCCTCGGCCTCCCCAGTGCTGGGGTTATAGGCCTGCGGCACTGCATCAGCTATGGCTGCTTTTCCATGTGTTCAGACCAAGTTATTCAAACACTAATTTGGGTAGTGATGCAGAACATTTTGCAGATGAAATTAAAGGCCCTAATCAGCTAACTTTAAGGGAGATTATCCTGGCAATCTGAGAGGCCTGATCCAATCAGCCTAAAAGCCTTAAAAGCAGGGCTGAGGCCGGGCGCGGTGGCTCAAGCCTGTAATCCACCAGCACTTTGGGAGGCCGAGGCAGGGTGATCACGAGGTCGAGAGTTCGAGACCATCCTGGTCGACATGGTGAAACCCCGTCTCTACTAAAATAACAACAAATCAGGCTGGGCATTGGTGGCGTGTGCCTGTAATCCCAGCTACTCAGGAGGCTGAGGCAGAGAATTGCCTGAACCCAGGAGGCGGAGGTGCGGTGAGACCGAGATCGTGCCAATTGCACTCCAGCCTGGGTAACAAGAGCAAAACTCGTCCTCAAAAAAAAAAAAAAAAAAGCAGGGCTGAGGCTCCCTCCAATGTCCCCCCTGGGAAGCGCAGCTTGCAACCTGGGCCTGAGTTCAGCCAGCCCCCACAAATCACCTAAACCAGTTCTTCAGAATACACTGGATATGTGCGTACACACTATCTCCCCACTAGTTTAATTTCACTGCTTGAACCCTAATAAGGCAAATGTTAAGGACAAGACCAAATAAAGCTTATCAAAATTATGAGATTAAGGGGGCAGGGGCTAGACACCTGTGCACAAATCTCAGGAACACTCATAGCCAGCCCTCCGCAAGGCAGTTTGGAACCGGGGCTCACGATGCACTGACTGTGGGTGTCCTAAGCCCCAGGGGCCCTCATCTGAAAAAATGAGCACGGCAGGTGCCTGCAGGGACTGACACCCAGTGCTAGTAAGAGGCAGTGAAAACCTTCAACAGCCAGTCCCATCACTCCCAAGCCGCTCAACTGGGAAAGCTGGATTCAAAACCCCAGCCTCCAGTCAAGACACCCTAAGCCCAACGAATTCTTGACATCTGCAGCCCAAGGAAGCGCGGTCTGCAGAACTATGCGCCAGTGCAAGACGCTGGTCAAAGGGTGAACCCAAGGGGGTAGGGGAGGGATAGTGGGGGGTGGAAAAGGTTGGGGAGACATTGGGAGAAATGCCTGATGTAGGTGAAGGGGGGATGGAGGCAGCAAACCACCATGGCATGTGTGTACCTATACAACAATCCTACGAGATCTGCACATGTACCCCAGAACTTAAGTGCAATTAAAAAAAAAAAAGATGAACCCAGCAACAAACTGGGGAAGTCCAACCACTCTCCACCCCAGGCACCAAGGAAAACCTCTTTACCATGCCCCGTAGGCCAGGGACAGCTAACACTTGGCTTCCTGCAGCCAACCCTCCCTATGCCCCGGCAGACTCACCTTGTAGAATTTCCTGAGGTTTCTTTCTGAGTCTGGATTAATAACTGTGAGAACACGGGCAATAGATTGCGGACGACTCGGCTACAAAACAGAGAGGTCAGTGAGGATGGGGAAGACGCACAGCACTTCCCAAGGCTCAGGATCCACACACACAGGGCAGGGACAGCTAGAGCCGACCCTATCAGCCTATCCATATTCACTCAGGAGGAAGGCATTCTGGAAGTGAGGTCTGAGGAGGGAAAGAGGGACGTGGGATGGGCACTCCAGGAATGCGGACAGGGAATCCAGCACTGTTGAGCTGTGAAGTGTCGGTTGAGACAGCAGAGAAGGCTTTATGAGGAAGTAAGTGCAGGCTCGAGAAATGGGGCAGATCAGGAAAGACCTTCATTCCCAGAACACGGATTTATCCCGAGGGCTATGAAGACCCAACCAGTGCCAATCTCAGTGAGCTGATGGGAGGGAATCATGTCACAAACCAGGCAATCAGGCCAGCTTAAAGAATCGCAGGAAAAATTAGACCTTTGCAAAGTAGAATCAGTACAAGCTAGGGACTGAAGCAAGCAACAGGCTGGGGAGAATCTGTAGTCAGGTCGGGATGAGGGCGGATGGCTGGTCAACATGGCTCCTGAGGATTCAGTGTGCAACTCTGCTCATTCAATCCTCTCACCTTGCCCCGCTAAGGTTGGGGGAAAGGAGGACAGCTGCCTTTTTTTGGAGACAGGATCTCATCTCTGTCAACCAGGCTAAAGAGCAGTGGCCCCATTATAGCCTCAAACTCTGGGCTCAAGTGATCCTCCTGCCTCAGCCACCACGGTAGCTGGGACTACAGGCCTGCACCGCACCCAGCTAATTATTTTGATGAAGTGGACTTTGGACGGGTTGATGAACCCCAAACCCATGTTCCTTTCAAAAGCCTCCTGGACTCTCAGTCATGTAAAACAACTGACACTGCCACTCACGGGTGCAAGCCACCCACCTACCAAGAGGGAAAAGGTGAATTAAAAAGTCAAGTGTAGTGGGAGGCGGAAGGAAAGGGTCCAGGTAGGCTTTGAAGGCAGCATTAAGATGGGTCTCCGAGAATGCACTCCAGGCACAAAGACCGCAAGGTCAGGGCGGGTAAGGGGCTACACACAGCGGGTCTCCCATGCTCCCCGGGATTCGCTGAGTGGGCACCTAAGCGGCCACCTCGAGTCAACTTTGAAATCCTCCGATGATCCCGAGGCACACGTGCTCCCCACCCGCGAGGCCTGTGATCCGGCTCTCACTTACATCTTAGAGAGCTTGGAGGCCGCGCCGCCCGTCACTTTGGCGACTCGCAGCTGGGACAGCTCCACCTTCAGGTCGTCCAGCTGTTTCAGCAGCTCCTCCTTCTTCTTCCCGCGAAGGTCTCGAGCCTTTATCTTGGCCTGCGCGCAAGAGGACGTGGGGTTCACCCAGGCCGCGGGGCCATGTCCCCTCCACCTGTGCTGTGGCCAGCCCCAGAAGGCGTGCGACTCGCCCTCGACCACATGTGCGCTGGAGCCCCGGCCAGGGCTCAGGGCCGTTTCCCCCACCGGCCGTGCCTCGGGCAGAGTAACCGAGGACCCGGCCGCGCGCCTTTTCGGACGCCAAGCCTAGCAGAGAAGGGAAGAGGCGAACTGTGGCGACGCGAGACCATTCAGCAAGGCGCTCTACAGGCCCAGCTGGCAGACGGAAACCGGGGGCTCGGCCCACACCACCTACTCCAACCCCCGCGCCTCACAGCACTCGGATGGCGCCCGATTCTGCCGCTCTCACCATCGCTGCACAGGCCGCCGCTACCGCCGCCGCCGCCGCCGCCGGTCGCTCCGAAAGAAAGAGGAAGTAGGCGGGGCTGACCTCGGCAACTACTGCCGGGTGGCGGCGGGCGCGGCCAATAGCGCCGCAGCGGGGGAGCCCCGTCTCCGCCCCGTCTTCCCCGCCTCGAAGGAGTGTCGTGGTACCGCCCGCCCGCCCGGGAGAAGCTGGAGCTCGCCCCTTGGTGCCTGCCTCTTTCACTGCACCCCCGGTAGCGGGGTCGGCGTCAGCTCTAGACGCGCAGTTGGGGAAACCGAGATACAACGTTGCCGGTAGCTTACCAGAGATGGCACACGGAGAACTCGAATTCGTCCATTCAGTCATTCGTTCATTCACTAGGGAAAACTTGCAGATCTCCCAATCCGGGCAGCTCTGAGCTAGGCGCCGGTAGTCTGGGGGTGCTGAGGGGAGGAGGGGATCAGGGTTTTCAAAGATGATGAACCGCGGCCCATGCCATGGAGGAATTTAAAGTGCGAGGTGGGCGGGAGGGTCGGGCTCAGGCAGTTATAATCCAACTCCATAAAGGTTCTGGAGGTTCTGGGGAGGCAGCAGGTGGCGGTGCAAAGAGCATTTACAGTCTTTTTTTTTTTTTTTTTTTTTTTTTTGAGACAGAGTCTTGCTCTGTTGCCCAGGCTGCCAGCCAGGCTCGAGTCAGTGTCGCGATCTTGGCTCACTGCAACCTCTGCCTTCCGGGTTCAAGCGATTCTCCTGTCTTGGCCTCCCGAGTAGCTGAGTAGCTGGGATTACAAGCATGCACCACCACGCCTGGCTAATTTTTTGCATTTTTAGTAGAAACGGGGTTTTGCCATGTTGCCCAGGCTGATCTTGAACTCCTGAGCTCAGGCGATCCGCCCACCTTGGCCTCCCAAAGTGCTGAGATTACAGGTGAGAGCCACCCCGCCCTGCCCCCAGCCTTTCTTTTAAAACAGGGTCTCACTCTGTCACCCTGGCTGGAGGACGTGATCTCCACTCACCGAAACATCCGCCTCCTGGGTTCAAGCAGTCCTCCCACCTCAGCCTCCTGAGTAGCTGAAATTACAGGCACATGCCACCAGGCCTGGCTAATTTGTGTATTTTTTGTAAAGATGTTGCCCAGGCTGGTCCTCTGGGTTCAAGCGATCTGCCTGCCCTGACTTGGCCTCCAAGAGTGCCTGGGATTACAGGCATGAGCCACCTCACCTGGCCATACAGCCTTTTTTATTTCTTGAGAGAAACTCTGGCTGTCGCCCAGGTTGGAGTGCAGTGGTACGATCTGGGCTAACTGCAACTTCCGCCTCCCCAGTTCAAGAGATTCTCCTGCCTGAGCCTCCTGAGTAGCTGGAGCTACAGGCGCCTGCCACTTCACCCGCCTGAATTTTTGTATTTTTAGTAGAGATGAGGTTTCACCATGTTAGCCACGCTGGTCTTGAACTCCTGACCTCAAGTGATCTGCCCGTCGCAGCCTCCCAAAGTGCTGGGATTACAGGTGTGCATGGCTTAGTTTTACGTTAAAGTCTCATGGTGCAGGGTGGCTTTGCTCTTATATTTTCCAAATGCTTATACTCGAGTTAAGGACTCTGCACATCTTTTTCGAACCTGAAGTCATTTGTGATTCTTTCTCTCACACATCACATATAGTCAACCAGCAAAGCCGGTGTACTCTAACTTCAAAATTTACCCAACTCGAGGTCAGGTGTGGTGGTTCACACCTGTAATCCTACCACTTTGGGAGGCCAAGGAGGGTGGATCATCTGAGGTCCGGAGTTCGAGACCAGCCTGGCCAACATGGCAAAACCTTGTCTCTACTAAAAATACAAAAAATAAAAATAAAAATAAAAAGTAGCTGGGCATGGTGGCATATGCCTGTAATCACAGCTACTCGGGAGGCTAAGCAGGAGAATCGCTTGAATCCTTGGGGCAGAGGTTGCAGTGCGCCAACACTGTGCCACTTCACTCCAGCCTGGGAGAAAGAGCAGAACTCCATCTCAAACCAAAATTTACCCAACTTGTTCCCACCATCCTCATTGGCCCCCCAACACCTGGCTTGGGCTACCACTGTCCATCCCCAGGACGGCTGGTGTCACCATCTAAATCACCTCTCTACTTTGGTTCTTGATCCTAGATGTGTTCTCAATACAGCTGCTTAGAAGACCCTTTTCAAACAATTCACATATCTGGTTATATCACTGCTCTGCTCAGAATTTCCGGAGCTGTGCCATTTGAATTAATACTGATTACAGGAGGAGACTTCTTCAGCACCAGTTTCCCACTATCAGAGTCTGTATCCTTACCACCCAAGATTAGGTCGCATCATAGTCTGGCAATATTTTTTTGATCTGTAGACACAGTTCAATGAAAAGTATTCAAAGCAGTAAAAATAAATCACATTCCAACTACTGACTTTTATTATAAAGAGTACTATTAGATAAAAATAGTTTTCCTACTATCATATAAAAAGACCTATTTTACCCTAAGGCTAAGATCAATTAACGGAACCCCTGGGGTAACAACCCAGGTACCAAATCTCGCACCTCAGAGTCATCCCTGACTTCCTTAACCCCCTTCCCCCAACTCAGAGTCTGAGAATTTGTAGTATATCAAGCTATCTCTCTCCAGCCAAGCTTCTCCTGCCAGGACGAAGGAGGTGGCCACAGGGCCATCTCCTCCTAGCCGCCCCCAACTGCCTGGCCAAGGTGACTGCTACACACATGGGGTGGCAAAAACGTCTTCAGCGTCTTGTCAGTCCCCTGGACACACTAAACGTCTTTATTAGTTTATTTTTGAGACGGAGTTTTGCTCTTGTCGCCCAGGCTGGAGTGCAAAAGCGCGATCTCGGCTTACTGCAACCTCCGCCTCCCGGGTTCAAGCGATTCTCCTGCCTCCGACTCCCGAGTAGCTGGGATTACAGGCATGTGCTACCACGCCCGACTAATTTTTTTATTTTTAGTAGAAGTGGGGTTTCTCCACGTTAGTCAGGCTGGTCTCGAATTCCCGACCTCAGGTGATCCACCCGCCTCGTCCTCCCAAAGTGTTGGGATTACAAGCGTGAGCTACCGCGCCCGGCCCTAAACGTCTTTAAAGTCTCCCACTCCTTTAATAGGGTCACTTCTGTGTACAGGCGGCCTCCTCGGGCTAAGCGTGGTGGCGTTCAAGGCTCCGAGACACAGACCCCTCCCGGTCACTCCCCGGGCCCAGGAACTCCTACTCATCCCTCAGACATCAGCTCGAAGGTTTCTTCTCCAAGAAGTTTGTCCAGGACTCGAGAAGTAGAGCCGCGAGCCTTCTCCCAGGAGCCCGGCGTTCCCCCATTGGGGCAGGGAATCAGCCCAGCAGCCAGCGCCGGGCCTTGTTGAGGCAGGGGCTCCTCGGAGGCGCGGGAAACCCGGAGAACGGGCGCAGTTACGGCGCACACGATGCGGGGCCTGCAAAGACACCGGGCGCCTGCTCCCCAGCGGGAAAACTGAGGCAAGGCAGAAGGCGCACTGCGGTTGGGGCGGCCGCGGAGACAGTCGCCGGGCTCCGCCCCGCCCCCCGACAGCGCTTCCGGATCCGGCGTGGGCCGGAAGTGGGCGGGCGGCGGCGGCTGCGCGCGGAGGCGGTGGAGGAGGTGCTGGAGGAGCCGGGCGGCCACTTCCCGCCCCCGAGCCGGAGCCGGCGCGAGCGGAGCGGAGCCGAGATCGGGCCGCGAGGGGAGCCGGCTGAGCGGGCGCCGAGCTCCCGCCATGGCCCGGAACACGCTGTCCTCGCGCTTCCGCCGGGTGGACATCGACGAATTTGACGAGAACAAATTTGTGGACGAGCAGGAGGAGGCGGCGGCGGCGGCGGCAGAGCCAGGCCCGGACCCGAGCGAGGTGGACGGGCTTCTTCGGCAATATCCTTCCCTGGCGCGGCGGCCGGGCCTGCCCGCGGCCTTTCTCCCTGCCCACCTTCCTGATCCCTCTCGGGCCCTTCCGGACGGGCCTCCCCTATCCCCTACCCCCGGTCCCCTCAGGTCAGCCTCCTCGTCCCTGCCAACCCGGCTCCCCTAGGCCGTGCTTCCCCGAGTCCGGTCTCCCTGGGTCCCTCATCCCCGGCCCTGGCGCCTTCCTCGGCAGCGCAGCCCCGCAGGTCCCTGGACCCGGTGGACGGGCTCCCTCGCTGCCCCGCGCCCTCTTTCCCGCTTGCCTCCTCTTCCCCTCCTGCTGTCCCTTCCTGGGAGCCCCAGCACTCCGTCCCTCCCTTGCAGGAAATCGGGCCTGTGGCGGGGCTGGGTCCGCAGCAGGGCGGAGGTGAGCCGCATCTGAGTAACCGAGTGGTCAGGGAGGCTGGGGCGCGGTCCTCCGGGGCTTTCCGTGACGGGATTGCCGCACGGCCTGAAGATAGGTGGGTGGACGGCGGTGGGGAAGACGACCCGGGAGGAAGTGGAGGCGGCCGCCGTAGCTCAGCCCTGGGGTCTGAGGTTGTGCCTCTCTTCCCCCAAGTCAGTCTGACCCTCCCTCTTAATGCTGAGAAAGAGGGACCCTGTGGTTCCTCTGGACACCTTGGTGGTCTCGGCCACGCTCAACAAGTGAGTCTTAGCTCCCCTCGGTACCCTTCTGGTGCAGGAAGCAGTAGAAAAAACTAGTAGTTCAGAGCTAAGAAAACCAGACACCTTAAAGTGAAGTGTGAGAGTGGAGCCCCACGCCTGGAAATGACTGTTATTGTGGCCACAGAAAACAGCATTTAGAAAAGATTAAAAATAGAGGTGATTGTCACAGCCTTGCTTGGTCCCTTAGCCGCATGAGCGCAGGAAACTGACTTATTCTCACCGGAAGGATTTTGCTTTATTCAAACGCTGTTCCAGGAAGCGTGTCCCCTCCCCCTGCACTGGCCGGGGCAGGGTTGGAGGCCCCTGCTGTACATAAATCAGGTTCTCGGTGTTGAGCCAGTTGACTCAGCTTGGAAATTGGGGCCTGCTGCTTTGGGGGAGCCCAGCAGTGTTCCTCAGTGTGCCTTTAAAACGAAAACCTTCAGACTTGGTTTGAACCGGAATGTGTTTTCAGAAGTGGAGATTCCAGCTTGTAATTCCTGCCTCATCAGGATCTTCCAGTCTATCCTACTTATAAAATGGGGTCAAGGGAAGGGTCCGTGGAAGGGAAGGTTGGTTGTAGTCTGGTGCAGGTCCTGGTTCATGGACAGTCAGTGCTTCAAGGGCTCCAAGGTCAGGCCTTTGGCCCAGGACCCTGACTGAACAGATGAGGAGACCACGCCTGTCAGCTGCGGCTTTGCTCTGGGTGCAGAGGCTTGTTGAAGGTCGTGTCTTGGAACTCCCCTGCCTGGTGACAGGTTCCTTGAGGCTGCGTAGAGGCCTGGGCTCGGCACATCCCGAGATGGTCGTTTCTCCATTCATAGCAGCCTCAGAAACCTTGTTACCAAGGAGAGTGTTCCACTTGGGGCTGAGGAAAGGGAGGTTAGCTGATGAAGAGAACTGAAACCCTGGCAAATACGGGGCCCAGGTAGGGAGGAGAATGGAACTCATATTTGAGTCTCTATCATGTGCCAAGGATTGGGCTTACATTAGACCACTGAATTTAAAGTAGGAACTTCTGAATGTTTGAGGACAGGGGAGCAGAGAGACGGGTGGGTGGATTGGGGTGGGAAAGGGCAGAGAAGGGCCCTGTCCTGGGGCTGTAAAAGGAAGTGTGCGTGGCAGGAGACCACGAAGATGGAGTAGAAGGAACCCTGCTATGCATGGGCACACACCGCGCACTATCATGCTCTGGCTGTGTGACCTCGGATAGGTCACATGCCCTCTCACAACTCAGCATCCTCCTCTGTTATGTGGCAGACAGCCATGCTGGCTTCCTAGGTTCCGTAGGAGCCTCGTGGGCTAACATCAGCATCACTGGGCACACAGCAAGTGTCCCAGACATGCTCAGGTCTGCAGATAGAGTGGCGGCACGGGACTGTGGGAAGAGCTTGGGTGTGAGGGCCATGTAAATAGCTTAGTTTTGTGACCTTGGGCAGGCAGTTTCCATTTTCTGAGCCTCAGTTCCATTGCCTTTAAAACGAGGTAACGATTATTGTCACAGGGGGTTTTGGAATGAGATGGCTTGTGAAAGCACCTGGCACAGGATCCGAGACATTGTGGCGATTTAAAAGTATTCGTTCCTCTCCTTCTCAGTGAAGCCGCTTCTGGACGTCTGGATCAGGGATCTGTCTAGAGCAGTGGTTTTGAGCGATTTTGTACCCTTCGCCTCCACCCCCAGGAAATTGGAGACATTTTGATGGTTTCAGCTTGGGGTTGCCACTGGAATCCAGTAGGCAGAGGCCTACGACACACAGCAAAGATCCCGCATCAGAGAATCCTGAGTCCACAGTGCCAGTTGTGCTGTGATTGAGGAAGATCTAGAGGAGACCAAGGGCTGGGCAGGGTTCTGCCAGCACCACAGCCTGTTCTCTGAAAGGGCCTAAAGCCAGCCAAGTATGAGCACTGGCCTCAGGAATGATAGGTGATTTCAGGGAGGCCCTCCCTGCACCCCAGATCTCCCAGCTGCTGAAGGTCCTCACCCATCAATGGGCCGAGTGATTGCTGGACACACGGTGCTGAGCGTTAATTCCACAGCAGGGGCTTTCTGCCCCCGTGGACTAGTTTTATCCCTGCCCTTCCCCATCCATCATCGGAATGATTTTCTTTGTCTGTTGTGCCAGGTTTACATGAAGAGCAAGTGAGCCTATGTTTCCTGTTCAGCCTCTGGGATCCTGCTTCTTGCTTTAGGGACACCACATTAGAAAAGAGTTGCAAGGTGGAGGTTATCTGTGGCTGATAGCAGACTGGCCTTGTTTGGATGGGGAAAAGGAACTCCAAAGCTGAAAGACAGAGGGGCTGGGCTGCCTCTCCAGTGTGGAAGGTGGATCAGAGCCAAGCAGGGAGCTGGGGAACCAGGGCTGGGAGTGGCTTGCCTGGTGGCGCCGACCCAGCTCACTCAAGATGGAGCTCACACTGGGGAAGCCAGGAGATTCAGCTCTGCTCCGAAGGCCCTTCCTGTCTGCACGTGGGTATCACTGCATGAAGAGGAGTAGAGACCCGATTGGGCAGAAGCCATTCCTTGTTCTATTTTTGAAGCTTTTTGGCTGAAGCCAGTGTTTCACATGAGGAAAGTTGGCTGATGTAATTTAGTTTAAAATAGGTGTCACCTTTGGGGACCTAACCCAGATTGTAATTTTCTTTTGCATGCTGGGTATTCAGAACTCAGCAAAGAATATATTGTCAGGACTGCAGCTGAGGTCGTGGGGAGGGGTGGAGATTGGCTCATTGTTGGCAAAAGCTTCTTTTAGATGATAAACTCTTTCCTGGAAACAGTTGGGACCTCACTGATATCGATGGCTCTTAGAAGTTTTAGTACATCTTAATTTCCTTTATAGTTTAATTGATAAAGAGCATTGATGAAAAGTTAGGAAGTCTCCTTTTCCCTTTTTTAGAATGGGAACAATCCCCGGTTCACATGTACTGTTTCTGTGAGGATCCAGGCAGGTGCAAGTGAGCACACAATGGTTTTACAGCAAGCTCCCCTTCCAGGGCAGTTGCTTTGAGGGGGAAGGTAGAGGGAGGAAGAAGGAGGGTTTGCACGGTTGGCAGAGGTGCCCTGCACCCTCTGCGGGCTGTAAACACCTGCCCTCCTGGAAGCCGTGGAAGGTGGGTGGTATGGATGAGATCCTGTCTGACTCTGTTCCCTGAGCTGTTTCTGAAGTGAGCTTGTTAATGAGAGTGTGGATGTGCTTGAGCCTAGCCATCCTTAACTGGTGGCGATCACAGGGGACATGCTTCGGGCATTCCACGCAGCCTTGCGGAACTCTCCTGTCAACACCAAGAATCAAGCTGTGAAGGTAAAGGGGTGGCATGCGGCTCTGCTGGGTGCTGTTGGGACCAGAGCTGTGGGTGTCTGCCCAGTGTGAGCTCCTGGGGGCTCTGGCCGGCATCTGTTTCATTCGCACCAGGGGAGTGAGTTGGCACTGGGCAGTGCCTCCACGGAAGCCTCCTGGCACTCCCTAGATGGCGAGGCTCCTCCAACATCAAAGCTGTCAGTGTTTATAAGAGAAACTCCCCACAGAAGCCTTCACTCCCGCTCAGGGCCTCGTAGGCTGAGAAGTCAGCCTGGCCCCGGCTGATGCAGAACACTGATGACTTCTGTAGCCTGTGGTGCCTGTGCTCTTACACGCTGTTGAATAGGCTTCACCCAAGGATTTTAAGTACCTGTATGATTTCCTACCTTCTAAAAACTTCCCACCTTCTAAATTGTGCTTCTGCATCACGAAGGCTAAAATTTGGTTCAGGGAAAGGGTCTCCCTGCAGCTGGGATTCTGGCAGCTGTGACAGCATCTTGATGTCACCCATGGCTGCACCTGCAGAGTTCCGGGGACTGGCCCCACCCTTCCTGGGTGTGAACATGAGGGACGCTGCAGCCAAGTCAGCCTGGTTTTACTTTTATTTTTTAATAGATCTTCACCATTGTGGAGTATAATAAGGCCTTATTGGTGTCATCTAAAACAGTGATAGGCTGGGTGCCGTGGCTAATGCCTGTAATCCCAGCACTTTGGGAGGTGGGAGGATCGCCTGAGCTCGGGAGTTTGAGACCAGCCTGGGCAACATAGTGAGACCTTGTCTGTACTAAAAATTTAAAAAAAAAAAAAAAGATGTTGTGGCGTGTGCCTGTAGCCATAACTGAGGTGGGAGGATGGCTCGAGCCTGGAACAGGCTGCAGTGAGCCAAGATTGCACCACTGCACTCCAGCCTAGGCAGCAGAGCGAGACCCTGCCCCTCCCTCCCTCTCTCCCTCTCTCCCTCTCTTTCTCCCTCTTTTTTCTTTTCTCTCTCACACAATAATTGTCCTAGTAAACAACTTATTCCCCCCAAAGTACGTAGAATAACTTGTTGGCATAAACAAAGGATACTTTGAAATTTAAATCCACAGAAGACCTTCTAGCCTGCTTATTTTAACCATCCTGGACTATTTCGAAACTGGGTAGTGTTTCTGGTGATCAGTGTCCTTGCTTTGGTGTGGGGCACAGCAGTGCCAGCACAGCTCTGGGTCTTACTTGCTCTTTTTCGTCTGCAGGAAAGAGCCCAGGGTGTGGTGCTCAAAGTGCTCACAAACTTCAAGAGCAGCGAGATTGAGCAGGCTGTGCAGTCACTGGACAGAAACGGCATTGACTTGTTAATGAAGTACATTTATAAAGGCTTTGAGAAGCCCACAGAAAATAGCAGCGCAGTGCTGCTCCAGTGGCATGAAAAGGTACGTGAATGCTGCCACACGCCAGGTGAGCCACCGGGCTTGCCCCGGGCTTCAATCAGCAGGCCAGATTTTCCAGAATAAACGTCAGATGGTCTGATAGGCATGTGGGGTCAGAGGGTGAGCCCTAACCTGGGACATCTGGTCACTTCCCTCTCTCAAGGAAGCTCCTGGTAGGGACCTGCTGTCTCTGGTCATTGCAGTTACTTTTTTCCTTTTTAGCTGCTGATTATGCCAGGTGAGACAGGGTGCTTTTGGTAGAGGACATGGGGGCAGATAGCCTGGCATGGTATGGTGGCTGGGGAGTCTAGGTAGGAAGGGGGCTTGCTGGTTGGTTGGGGCTTCATGATATTTGCAGTGGTGGAGGCAATCGTCGGGAGTTCTTAAGGGTCCTCTGGACAGCTCTAAGGGCTTCCTGCCCTGGCCTCAGTCTTACCAGGCCAGAGCACACAGTGGGCAGAAACCTCAACCTCACTTAATATGGCCTTCGTCCAGGTGAAGCAGAAAGAGCTGTCTGCCTTTCTCGTGGGTCCATGTGAGAGCAAGGCCTTTGGCAAGTCTGTGTCCTGCCTGTACCATTGCAGCTGCCTCCCACACCCTCCCCAGCACACCCCTAGTGCCACAGTAAGCACGCCCACCATTAAAGCAGACCAGGCAGTTACTAACACACCAGCCTTCCTGAGAGGCTCAGTGCTGAGTGGGAAGATAGGGGTTTTACTGCGGGCCATTCCTTAAGGTGGTGTGGGTGCTGGGTTGTGGCTGTGGCCTTAGGTCTGCCAGTGGGTGTGCTGTGCCTTCTTGGCCTCCCCTCTCCTGGGCGAGAAGGAAGTGAACAAGTCCCCTGTCTGATGGGGAGGCCAGGACCTTTCGTCCCTTTAAGGCAGCTTGGTGCCTGCCAGCCACCTTAACAGGCGGCACTCAGTGAGCTTGTGTGCATCTGTAATGTCAGCTCTTGGGGAGGCTGACACAGGAGGATCGCTGGAGCCCAGGAGTTGGGGACCAGCCCAGGCAATGTAGTGAGACTCCATCTCTACAAAAAATATTAAATTAGGCCAGGCACAGTGGCTTATGCCTGTAATCCCAGCACTTTGGAAGGCAGAGGCAGGTGGATGACCTGAGGTCAAGGAGTTCAAGACCAGCCTGGCCAATATGGTGAAACGCTGTCTTAACTAAAAATACGAAAATTAGCTGGGCATGGTGGTGGGCTCCTGTAATCCCAGCTACTTGGGAGGCTGAGGCAGGATAATTGCTTGAACTGGAGAGATGAAGGTTGCAGTGAACCGAGATGGTGCCATTGCACTCCAGCCTGGGTGACAAGTGAAACTGTCTCAAAAATAATAAAATACATTAGCAGGGCACGGTGCTGCACACCTGTGGTCCCAGCTACTCAGGAGGATGCTTGCGCTCAGGAGGTCAAGCCTGTGCAATGAGCTGCGATCTGGGCAGCAGAGCGAGACCCTGTCTCAAAAGGGAAACTCGAGGGGTTCTGCATTGTGTGCTTGGTGACAGTGTTCTCAAGCCAGTTCTCCCCGAGAGCTGGTAGCTCTCAGGAGCTGTGGCTCCAGCACAGGGAAGATTCCCTAGAATGTGCTGTGTCTCAGGAATCCTGGTTCAAGGGTCTGTCAGGATTTAGGTCAGAGGATGCCCCGCCTCCCCAGCAAGCCAGGCTCCCCTTTGGCCAGCCAGGTCTCATCTGATACATGTTCTTTTCCTGCCCCCACAGGCCTTAGCAGTAGGAGGACTAGGCTCCATTATAAGAGTTCTTACAGCAAGAAAGACTGTTTAAAAAATTAAAAGACTCACGTTACCTTGAGAAGAATTCTGGATGCCCAGGCTGGTGAAGAAGGGATTGACAATGGACCATGTTCCTAGGAACTCCCAACTAAACTATTTCAGGACATGTATCTGCTGAAATGTATTTTATTTTCAAGGTGGAGGGGAAGATCGTCTGTTTCCTAAATCCTGTGCAGGATCTGAGTCTATGCCTTTGTCTCCGAGTACTGCAGAACTGACATTTTGTCTATGAGTGGTGGCTGGCATTGGTCAGGCACACCTGTGTGCACTGGGGGAGGGATGGTTTGGGCAGGTGCAGATCCAAGGGCTGTGGTAAATGGGAGAGCTCGTGTTTTTGAAGTGGGAAAAACCAAGAGTTTGTACAGACATCCTGTCTTCCAGAGGAGGACGCTCTTGGGCTCATTGTAAAGTGCCTGCTGCATCAATAAAGCTCTTGGCTTATTAGTATATACATTGCGGTGTGTTTTCATGTATGCAAACAAATGGTAATGACAGGGAGGGTAATGAATGAGAGTTCAGTTGTTCCAGAAACTTGATGTGGGAGGAGTAGACCTGTGTCCGTTGAGCCGCACGCCCCTGAGAGCGAGTATGGCAATCCACAGGCCCTCCGCCATAGCAGGACGCCAGCCCTGGCCTCGGAGCTGCCAGCTGCGGCGGCGAGGTGTTTGCTGAGTAACTATTTATTGTTTCTTACTCCTTTGATTTGTATGTAATTTTGGAGCTTATTTAATTTAATAAAAAGTGCCAAACATTTAATGATTGCTCTAGGCTTTAAAAGTCTTCGGTTTGTGGGACTGTACTTGGAATCGTTTGAGGGCGGGCCTCAGATGTGCCTGGTCACGTCTCCTGATGCTGGGTGGGCTGTGCCGCAGAACTCTTACTGCCGCATGGACACGTTTTCTTTAAACAACTAAACGTCAGAAATGGAGAGCAATCAGCCAGTAGGTAGATAGAAAGCATACTTTTGTTCGCAATCACCACTAACAGAGCCTCTCTGAAGGACAAAAATGTGTTTCTCTCCTTTTTAGCACATGCAACTGCAGCTTGCATTCTGTTAAAGGTCAGGGCCCCATTCACACTCCTGAGGCTCCTCTGGGTCATACAGCCTTTGGATATAGACTTTGACCAAAGTGGCACATCCTGCCCTCCTCAGCCCCTCTGCAGAATCACTGCAATTTGTAGGGAGTAGGACGAGGATGTTGGCTTCATTAAATCACCTATATTTATTCACCCAAATCCAGTCTGGGGAGGTTCTTTCTGAAAGGCAAACATTCTCTAGCCCTTGAAGTTGGCCTTGTAGTGTTAAATATGAGACACAAAATACCACATTTAACGAGTCAAAGAAATACCAAATTACAGCAAGTAAAATCCATCGTAGTTGCATCTGGATTGAAGAGCTTTAATCAAAAAGTGTATTGCACCACAGATGAATTTTCTACAGCAGTTTTCAAGAATACAATTCCTATTTACAACATTGAAGGAGAGCTCAAGATCCAACGCTCATATAAAGGGCTATGTATCCCATCTATCACAGAACGTTTTATACAGGTCAAAGTGCATTAGATCACTTAGCGTATTTACTCCACTCTTCCTCTTAAAGCTGAAGGAAATTCAACATGCAGGAGGAAAGCCTACTCAGTGAATCCTCCCTACAGTGAGTACAGACAGGAACAGGCCCCACAGCTACACCTAAAACTGCCAAGGAGTGGGGCCTGGGATGTGTAGGGGCGTTAAAGGGCCGGAGAAGCCACGGAGGCAGCGGACGGCTTCCGTGGAAGTGTAGCTGCCTTTGGCAGGCTGTGAGCTACCCAGTCTTGGAGATTATTTCCTGAAACGGTTGAAAAAGGAAATCCTACTCTGAACAAAAGTTACCTCTTACCCATCAAAATTGCAGAACAGAAGAGATTCTGTTTTGTGTTCCCACCAGGTAAATGGAAATCCGCATTCTAAACAAGGGACAACTGTGTCTGCAAGGAGAAGCCAGATGAGGCAGGCAGTCACTGGAGAAGGGGGCCTTTGGTGGGCAGAGCCTGAGCTGGGACTAAGGAGATGCTGCCCTGGCTTGGTTCTTCATGGAAATTTCATTAGGTTAACGTTGCAGATTTGTGTTTTTCTGTAATATACATTTTACATAACTATTTTGGCCCTAAGAATGAATGAGAAATACAACTTTCCATTATACGTTGTATATACCTATTTTGGCCCTAAGAATGAATGAGAAATACAACTTTCCATCACTGGAGCGGGGATAATAAATTTAGGAGCTCCCGTTATTAATTCAGTTTATTTAGCCAGTGTAACTTTCATGAAACAATAAATGGTTTCCTTTTAAGAGTCAATATTGTGGCTTTTCCAGAACCAATATGTTCCCTTTCCTCAGTAAGGAGGAATCCATAAAACAAGTTTTTCTTGGTTACTACCAGAGTCATGTGCATGCTACAAGTGCTGCAGCCAGCTGGGGGCTGTCTGGGTGCCAGACATGGGTGTAGTGCCATTTTAAATATTTTGGGTGGGATGAGGGAGAAAGAGTGGCTCCACATGCAAGGCAGACTGCCCCAATGTCTCGACCAAGGCTAGGGCACAGCTGCTGCTTCACTGGATACGGCAGAGCACGTCTTCAGTGAAAGATGGGTCATCTGCATTGCCCAGCGGCAGCACAGCGCAGAATCAAGACAAAGCACATGAGACCCCCTGGTGCTTCAGAGGGAGCGGCGCCAGAGTGCAAGTGAGATGACAAAGGAACGGGAATCCTAGTTTTAGGAAGAATTTCCTCTGGACGCTCTGATTTTAAGAACATCAGTTAAATGGATTTTATAATACAGAAGACATGTTTATAATAATGAAGAACTTTAGCTATAAAAAATAGTTTAAAATGGTTTACCAGCAACCTATCCAAAACAAGTACATTCATTAAAAAGGCAATTGAGTGTATTTGGTACTATACTTAGGGTCTTTTCATGTATTTGCTAGTTTTCTTAAAGTGGAGATACCGTCAAAAAGGTGCATATCCCCCATTCATCCACACCGGCCCTTAAAGATGGGTCCTCTAAAGTTACAGGTGGTTTGAGAGACAAGGTGAAAGAATGTGTTCTTGAGAGGAAGGGATAAAAAGTTTCTAACTCATCTGAATTTTTAAAGACCACTCACGGAGTTGGCTGTTACTGGAGAAGCAGGTGGGTCTGGCCTGCCAGGCAGCATCTCAAAGGGCCGTCTCTACCTCCCGCATTGCTACATGACGACTCAGGTGTGCCTGCCAGATGCTGATGGCTTCAGCTGTAAGTGCTAACGTGAAGTTAGAGGATTCAGGTGCAGACGGGGTGCTGGCTGGAGCTGGGATATTAGCAGCACTGTGGAAATCTGGGTAGTGCCAGAACCCTCCTGTTTGGTGACCAGAATGACAGGATCAGCTACCCCCTGAGGTTCATGTCAGCCTGCAGGGAAGTGGGCCTTAGTCTTGTAAACAATGTTTAGACGCTTGTACAAAATACTGCAGTTACAGTGATTAAAAACCCACCCAGACTGGTGTGTCAGTGTTCTTTTCATAGAAAAAGTGTCAACTCCCGGAGCTCCATCCTTGGGTAGTCCCTCCTAGGACCATGGTATCCGAGGATTTGAGATAGATGGCCGGATGCTGCCCTTGGGAGCTGGTTTGGACCCAAACCATGACATCTGCATTTGAACAGAAAAGGCTTCTGAGATGCAAATCTGGACTTGGTGCCAGGGAAACTGAAGAACCCCTCCCCTCCCCTGAGCCTGTTACTCCTGCCCCCCCAGGCATCCTGCCTCTGGCTTGGAGCAGAGCAAGAAGATGGTGTCAGTAACCAGCCGGCAGGCCCATGCTCAGTACGGGAGGGAAATGAGAGGAAAACACTGAGTTGACAGGGCAAAGTAGTGGAATTGTAGGTAATTTTTCCTTTAGTGCATTTATGCAGACACTTTTGGAATTTTTTTGAGTGCTCAGCAAGACCTGGAGCTCTCGATAAAGTGCTATCAATGAAAATGCTTTGAAAAATATGTGGCCTGTTGGTCAAGTACGGCACAAACATTTGGGCACAAAGGGTGTCATCACTAAAAAGTGCCTGGATCAAGTTCATCCAAAAGCAGCCAAGCTGACCATGCAGCTGTGCTCGTTACCTACATTTGGGGGTAGGGCTAAGGGGGTCTTCAGCTGTTACTGCTGGGATGACTGACAATATATTTTGGAAGCTGGAACAGTAGACCAGAGAATCCTACCTTATATTCCAGGGTTTCTTTGAGCATGTTCTCTTCCTCTTGGGAAAAGTTCAGCAACACTGACACAGCTTTTATGAGATGAAAAGCCTGAAACAGTAAGTTTTGCTGCCATAGGCCTTGCTGGAGGTGGGGGTGGGGTGGGGGTGGGGGGGCTAAATGGCAGCACTTCCTGCTTTCTTTGGTTAGCAGGACCAGGTGGTGGTAATGTTCTGGCACTCTGAGGTTTGGCAGCAGTGATAGGTTCTTCCTCTCCCTGCATCCTCGGGCCTAGCAGGCTTAAGGGAACTTCCCCAGCAGCTACGCCCACTCTTTGGCGGGACCCAGGAGCAATGGACAGATTCCGTTCCGGGCCTCTGGCCTCGGCACCCAGGCCAGGATTTAGAAGTGGAGCCTGCATCTCCCACCAGGAGCCGATTCCTGCACGGCCTCTCCCGCCCGCTGCTCACTCTGCAGGCCAACGCCAGTGGGAGAAATGACTGAGCGCCCACGTGGAGTCAAGTCAGGATGTATGAGGGAATGGGGGAAATGGGCTGCCGAATAGACTGTAGGGTGAGGCCTCAATACCCAAAAGAAACCTGGAAAGCCCTTTACCTCAGATTCTCGACAGGACATGAATTTTAAAACCACATGCTTAAGGTACTCAAAGTTGATCTCGCGGGCATCCGTCAGGTCAGCGTTATTCGTGACAGAAGGTGCCATGTTTGCCATCTCAGGTCCAGGTTTCTCCCGGACTTCAAAGAGCTCATTATCGGGTCTGATTTTCTGAAAAACCAATGAGAAGATGCTAGACTGAACCCTCTGAGGCAGGTGGAAAAATCCCACAGGAGATTGACCTTGTCTGGGCTATGATCACCATCACAGGGCAAAAAGGGCCATCATTTGAGGAATTCAAGACATTCCCTTATCCATGGCAAGAACGCATGTACGTACACACACACACACACACACACACACACTGGCAGGCCGTCCCACCAGCTAACATTGGACTGCCCAGCGACGCCTTGCAATCAATCAATCAGTTGGGTGGAGAAAGCATCGGCAGGCATCGAGGGACCCCTGGCTGGGCACAAGCAGCAGCGGGAGGAGGCTGGGAAGCAGGGCCAGCTCCCGTGCAGGCACTCACCAGCTCCTTCTGTAGAGTCTTCCGGAGCTCCAGCATCCGCTGCTGCATCTGCTTTATGGTCTGCGACAAGCCCCACCCCACAGAAAGCCAATCATTAGATGCATGTTTCACCAAAGGAAACAGACCCAAACATCCAGCAGGATCCCCTGTACACCTGTGAGGAGCCTCTGCCCTAATAAGTCCTCCTGAGGATGATCAGCTGTTGCACACAGGTGCGTATGACTGTGGGCTGTCATCCCTCCTGGGCCACTTCGTTCACACACTTGAGTCTCCAGGTCCCACGGGGGCCACCGAGTGGCCACAGAGCCTCTGTGCGGACATGAGTACCCCACTGCTGGCTACCCCTTCCCAGGGGCTTGGTCCTCCACACACAGTCCCTGGGAAGGGGTGGCCAGCACTGGGGTACTCATGTCTGCAAAGAGGGACTGTGGCCAGGACTGTGGCCAGAACAGGAAATGGCTCTGACTATAGATTTTGCCTTCCGAATTCAATTTTCTTTTCTTTCTTTCTTTCTTTTTTTTTTTTTGAGACAGAGTCTCTCTCTGTCATCCAGGATGGAGTGTAGTGGCATGATCTCGGCCCACTGCAACCTCTATCTCCCAGGTTCAAGCGATTCTCCTGCCTCAGCCTCCTGTGTAGCTGGGATTACAGGTATGTACCACCAAGCCTGGCTGATTTTTGTGTTTTTAGTAGAGACAGGGTTTCACCATGTTGGCCAGGCTGGTCTCAAATTCCTGCCCTTGTGATCTACCCACGTCGGCCTCCCAGAGTGCTGGGATTACAGGTGTGAGCCACTGAGCCGGGCCCAGAATTCGATTTTTATGCTGTGAACCCCAAGTAGGATACTTAGGCGAGGACTTACAATTCTCATCACCACTGCTCTCCTGAAATACATTAATAATCTGCAATGCTTATTTTGAATAGCCTAAATAGATCATAGTTTTTCTGCACAATTCATTTTTAGATAAATAATACAGAAAATAATTTATTTTCTTTTTTTTTTTTTTTTGAGACAGAATCTTGCTCTTGCCCAGGCTGGAGTACAGTGATACAATCTTGGCTCACTGTAACCTCCACCTCCCAGGTTAAAGTGATTCTCCTGCCTCAGCCTCCCGAGTAGCTGAGATTACAGGCGTGTACCACCATGCCTGGCTAATTTTTTGTATTTTTAGTAGAGAGGGGGTTTCACCATGTTGGCAGGCTGGTCTCAAACTCCTGACCTCAGTGATCTACCTGCTTCAGCCTCCCACGGTGCTGGGATTACAGGTGTGAGCCACTTTTTTTTTTCTTTTTTTTTGAGACAGAGTCTCGCTCTGTAGAGACGGGGTTTCACCTTGTTGGTCAGGCTGGTCTTGAACTCTTGACCTCAGGTGATCCACCTGCCTCAGCCTCCCAAATTGCTGAGATTATAGGCGTGAGCCACCGTGCCTGGCCCTTTTTTCCCCCCCTTTAAGAGACAGCATCTCACTATGTTGCCCAGGCTGGATTCAATCTTTGAACTCCTGGGCTCAAGCAATTCTCCCACTGCAACCTCCCAAGGAGCTTGGACTACAGCTGTGCACCACCACACCTGGCTAATTCTTTTATATTTAATTAGCATTATGAGCCTTACATTTAATTTATTGCACATTCCATACATTCCATTATTCACTAGACATGCTATTTTCCCAACTAAAAACTTTATAATATAGGGAAAAAACTTTTTTTGAGATGGAGTCTCACTTCGTAGCCCAGGCTGGAGTGCAGTGGTACAATCTCAGCTCTCTGCAACCTCTGCCTCCCAGGTTCAAGTGATTCTCGTTCCTCAGCCTCCTGAGTAGCTGGGATTACAGGTGTGTGCCACCACACCCAGCTAACGTTTGGCATTTTTTTAGTAGAGATGGGATTTTACCATGTTGGCCAGGCTGGTCTAGAACTCCTGTCCTTAGGTGATCCACCCACCTTGGCCTCCCAAAGTGGTGAGATTATAGGCGTGAGCCACTGCGACTGGTTTTAAATAAAAATGTATTCAAAGTCTCACAATGGTAATATATCAAAATGCATTCTTCCATGTACCTCCAGTCCGTATCACCATTCTTGTGCTGCATGGCTGGAATTGTAAATACATTTTTCACGTATCAGAGTCATCACTGCCTCCTCCAGCTTTCCTAATTGTAACATCTAATGTGACAGGAACTCCCAGGGATGCCCCTGTCTATCTGTGTGGCTTCCACTTTAAAACAAAGTGGAATAAGATTTGTTTCCCCAAGCAAGGAATCCCCACTGTTGCTCTTAGGGATGAAATGACTGACTCAGAGGAGCACCAAAGTGCTCTAACTTCTCTCCTGTGAGGCATTTTAAGTGACCTCCCACACACCCAATGTTGTGAAATGGCACCTTGTGGCTTCAATTTCTATTCTCTTGACTGACCATGAGGCTGGACACTGCCCCAAAAGTACATTTGCTACTTTATGTTATTGGCTTCCTGGTTTTTTTTTTTCATTCAGTAATTCATCTAATAATTAGTGAGTCTCTACACTGTTCTAGGCGCTGGAAAACAGCAATAAAAAAAGACAAAAGTTCACACTCAGGAGGGAAAAGATTAATAAACAGGCCGGGTGCAGTGGCTCATGCCTGTAATCCCAGCACTTTGGGAGCCAAGGTGGGCAGATCATGAGGTCGGGAGTTTGAGACCAGCCTGGCTAACATGGCAAAACCCCGTCTTTACTACAAATACAAAAAAATTAGCCGGGTGTGGTGGCGGACACCCGTAATCCCAGCTACTTGGGATTGCACTCTAATCTGGGCAACAGAGCAGGACTCCATCTCAAAAAATAAATAAACAAATCAAATCTGCAGTGTATCAGAGGGTACTAAGAGGCACAGAGAAAAGGCAGCACAGTGAGGGGTGGGGTGCTGGTGGTAAGGCTGGTCAGGGTGGCATAAAGGAAGTGAGGGGAACCAGGGGAAGGCACTTTCAGATGGAAGGCTCAGCAAGTGCCACAGCCCTGAGCTGGGCGGATGCTTGATGGGAGGCGAGGACCCTGGGGCTGAGGGGAATGGTGAGGACAGGAGGGCTCAGCTGGCAGGGGTGATCAGGGCCATACCACACAGGGCTCGGCAGGGCTCTGCAAGGACTCTGGCTTTCATCAAGAGATACAGAAGTCATGAGAGGTCTAAGACAGGAGTGACAGGGAAACCAGCTGGAAGTCTGATACATCTTCCAGAGAAGAGACAATGGTAACCTGAAGCAGGTGGCAGCAATGTGAAGTGGTGGATTCTGGGAAATGTGTGAAGGGGGTGCTGAAGGAACCTGCTAATGGCCTGGATACCAGCAGAGAAAGAACCAAGGTAGAGAGGACAACTCCAAGGCTTTTGCCACCTCTTGAGATGGGAAAGGTGGCCGTGGCAGCCAGGGAGCGCAGTGAAGCCTAAGTGTGTTTTCGGATGTTTTGAGTTGCAGACACCTTAGAGCTCACATGGAGACGGGTTCATGAGGCTATCGTCCAAGGAGCCGTCCGGGCTGGAGGCAGGCACGGGGAAGCTAGCTGCACAGAACACAGGTGAGACGGCAGAGTAGGGCAAGCAGTGCAGAGAAGAGGCACAAGGGCTGCCCTTGCACATGGTGGGTAGCAGTGGGAGGGAGACTAGCCTGTCAGAGGTGGCGGAGGAGGAGGAGGCCATGAATGGGAGCTTCAGGAGGAGGAAGAGACACCTGTCCAAAGCTGCAGACAGGCCAAGCAGAGGGAAAATTAGGAACTGCCTCCTGGATTTAGCAATGAGGATGTCACTGATGAACTTGACAAGAGGGTTTTTCTGTGGAGTGGTGGGGGAAAAGCTGAGAGAGGTGAGGAGTCGGAATGGAGATGGCAGATGTGAAACTTTCAACAAGTCAGATCGGGAGGAGAGCAGAGCCACAGTGGCAGGGCAAAGGGGTGTGAGCCGAGGACTTTCATCAGGCGCCTGTACAATGGCGCACTTCTCAGTGGATGGGACGACTCCAGGAAAAAATGATGATGACCTAGGCAAGAAACAGGAAGTGACTGGCATAGCACATGGGGAGGTGAGGGAACGGAATATGAGGAGAGGCTGTGGCGTGTCCCTTCTCAGAGAAGCAGGAGGTGGGAGTGCCAGGGCAGGCGAGGCAGGGTTGAGGTGAAGAGAGGAGAGAAGGTAGACATGAAACTGGGGTGAGGGGCAGAAGGGTGTGAAGGCCCCTGGGATGAGGCGGGGTGGTGGGGAACACTGGCCTGCCTGAAGGACCATGGTCCTGAGCTTCAAGGGGGCCTGAGTGCCCAGGTGTTGCCACTCTCTAGCGAGGTCTGGCTCTGTGGCTGCAGGGAAGAGTTGGGTTTAGCCCGAGTTTAACCAGAGCTTGGCTAGGACAGTCTGAGGAAAGGGAGAGAGGCCAGAGGACCGCAGGTGTCGGGAAGGCAGTGGTCCCATGACAGATACGGTGTCAAAGCTGAGCAAAGAGGCAGGAAGGCAGCACGGCTGGTAAGCCCAGAGGCTCAAGGGAGGGAGGTCCTAGGGGCACATGGGAAATTCACAAACAGGCAAAGTGAAACTGTGGGGTTGAGCAATGTGAGCTAAGGTGGTGACACTAGGGAAAAAAGCAAGGCAGTCATTGCCAGAAGGGCTGGGATTGAAGTGACTGACAGGGTTGTGAGGGGCCCAGGGGGCTGGGTTTCTGGGATGCTGGCAATGTCCTGATTTGCATAACCACCTGGGGTGGTTACATGGGTTTGCTTTCTGTTAATTCATTTAGGCCCACATTTGTTTTGTATACTTTTCTATGTGTATTTCACAGGAAAAGATTAAATGAAAGAGAGAGAGGAAAGAGAGATAATAAACACTTTTCCCCTTTGTAAAAGGAGAAACACACACACACACACACACACACACACACACACACACACATTTAGGGGCAGAATTTCAGGCCATATGAAGCTTCACAGGACACTTGAAGAACCAGGATTAAAGGAGAACCTGAATTTATAGGTGGGAAGGCTGGAGGGTGAGGGGTGGGGACCATGACATTTATTAAGCCTCTACCAAATACCAGAAAGTTTATACAGTTTACAGGACAGTTAGCAAATACCCTCATTTTATACCCCCCTCTTCCCACCCAAACAAACCCTTAAAGGCAGATATCAGTGCTGTCCTGCCACAGATGTAGAAAGAAAGTACAGAGGAAAGGGGACTGTCACTATGGCCTGGCTGGGACAGCAGAGCTGGCAGGGAACACACAGGCTTGCAGCTGCCCAAGCCAGACACTCGGCCAGTTCTGCAGGGGGTGGGGAGAAGAGGACAGTGCATGACGGATGGAAGGGCAGGGGTTCATGGCTCTCAGGAGGTTCAGGGGGCACCACAAAACCCTCCGAGGATGGCCTGGGTCATTTTAGGCATGAGGGCAGGGACCTGGTGGAGACAGAAACAGACGTGCAAAGGGCATCCTCACCTTATTTTTCTCCAGAAGTTGCTGCTCCAAGTCCTGCTTTTCCTTCTGTAGCTGCGCAAGATCCATGGCCCCAACCTCACCATTTGGTGTTCTTCCTGCAGCAGGAAGCTGGAACACAGTGTCCTGCATGGCCCTCGAGGTGACCTACAAGGTAGTGGCAGCCAGTTGAGAGCCAGGACAGGTAAGGTCAAGCTGAGCCACAGGTGTACAGGGAAGGGGAGCCAGACTATCCCTCAGGTGTGGCCTGGTGTGCTCCAATAGGCAACTGGCCACGAAGCAAATTCCTGGAGAAGATCCAATGCCCAGTGCCCACAACTATCACACAACTAGTCTTTGCTGGGATGAAGGGGCTTGCTCTCCACCTGCCTACTGACAAGGGGGCCATCTGTGATGGCCTCTTCAGGCCCCACAGCCTCCTAGCCATATGAGTGCCTCCCTCAAAGAAAGGCCCCTACATGCAGGACAGCGTCCTGTCCACCGTGTCTCCCACTGCTGCCTCCTCAGGGGACGCTCTCAGCACCTGCCCTGCATCTGCTGTGGCACCCATGCAGGTGCAGCTGGCACTTACCTGCGGCTCGCTGACTGAGAGCACTTCTGCCGGCAATGGGCCCGGCAGCCTCCGCAGGTCCTCTGGCTCCGTGGTGGCTGCAGCCTCCTCCGCCCTCAGGGTCCTCAGAGCCTCCAGCTCGGCCTGCAGCTGGTGCATCTGCAGCAGGGCAGAGTTGTGACCTAGGTCGGAGAGGAGGTGGGGGGCGCATGTGAGCCCAGTGACTCCATGCTGCTTGGTGGCAAGGTCCTCACGGGGCAGGATGCCCGGCCTGAAAAGGAGAATAGGCTCGGCCAGGGACAGACTCCTCACCTCGTTCCAGCTGCAGAATCTCCTGCTCTTTCTGGAGAAGTGCTTCCGTTTTTTCCTTCAGATTCTGTTCCTTCTCCTCCAGTATGGCTGTCAGGTTAGCTGCCTTGGAGACAAAAATCAACGAGAGAAGGTTGCCAGCAGTGACCCTATCTCCTCACAGACAGAAATCTCTGCTTTCCTGCTATTCGGGCTCCACCATGAATCCCTCCCTGAAGTCCACAACCCAGAGCAAACCCGCAGCTAAGCTCTGTTCCTATGTATGTGCACAAATCCATTCTCCCTGGCAGGGGCCCTGCACAGGGATAGTCACCTCCCACTGCCCCCCTAGCCAACAGTGGATCAACCAGAGACATGGCCGTTCTGCCCAGCCCAACAAACTGGCATAACTTCCGCTTCCTCAGCACCTGCAGCATGCCCAGCACTAGGCCACATCAGATGTATGTTACCTCATTATATGATAGTTTCCCAGAGGTGTAAGCAGAAGGACTAGAATCCTCATCAGAGGAGGCTCAGCTTTGTTGAGGACCTACCAAAGGCCTCGAGCCACTTAACTGGAAGCTCTGGGGTCAGACTCAAAGTCTACCTTCAAGGGGGGCTTTCCCATACTTCCTGCAAAAACTCAACCCAACCTATGTAGCCTCTGGGGCAGGTGGGTAGTGATGGGCCACCTCACAGAATTAGAGCCCAGCAGATCACTGGGCATGGACCAATTTCCAGTTAACGTTTCTAACTAAAAACTCACCATGAAACATCGAAAAGGGCATCCTACGGGGTGAGGGTTTCTTTTTTTTTGAGACGGAGTTTCGCTCTTGTTACCCAGGCTGGAGTGCAATGGCACGATCTCAGCTCACCGCAACCTCCACCTCCTGGGTTCAGGCAACTCTCCTGCCTCAGCCTCCTGAGTAGCTGGGATTACAGGCACGTGCCACCATGCCCAGCTACTTTTTTGTATTTTTAGTAGAGACGGGGTTTCACCATGTTGACCAGGATGGTCTCGATCTCTTGACCTCGTGATCCACCCGCCTCAGCCTCCCAAAGTGCTGGGATTACAGGCTTGAGCCACCGCGCCCGGTAAGGGTTTCTTTATAACATTTGTCTTGCAGCTTCCAAGAGAGCACAGGGGCCCACGTGGCTGACTGCTTTCCCTGAGCCCTGTGTCTACAACCGCTACCCTGGAGAGACAGGGCCTCTCCGACAGTCCCACAGCAGGACGGGGCCTGCTGCTTGTGGGACGGCAGGGGGACATCCTCCTCAGCATTAAACAGGGCGCACCTGCTGTTGGAGCTCTTCCCTTTGCTTCCGCACCTCCTCCAGGGCTTGAGCCATCGCCACACTCACAATTTCTCTTTGGCTCCATTCTTCCTACAATGCAGAAAACCGCTGAGCCCCAAAACTTAGTTCACTGTTTTTTAGCTGTACACCATGCAAGAAGCCCAGCAGACAGGGCACAGCATTGCAGAGCCAGACCAACGTTCTTCCCACTTCCCCAGGCTCCCAGCTTGGCCGCTCCCTGCCATGCCTTCAGTGTCCCTTTCAGAGCTATCCTGACAGGCAGGCAACCCACCGACTTCTCTGGAAATGGAAGACCACTGAGCATCAACTGTCCCACAAGCACCCCTGCCAGGACCCACACCGAGGCTAGGGGCCCATCCTTGAAGAGCTGGTCTAAGGCCATTAGCCAAGAACAAGAAGTCAGACTCACAGGCCACATGAGTAGAGTAGGGGACTGGAACAATTGGTTACGGAAAGAATAAGCAGCAACGACTGGGCACAGTGGCTCCCACCAATAGTCCCAGCACTTCAGGAGACTCAGGTGGGAGGATCGCTTGAACCCAGGAGTTTGAGACCATCCTGGGCAACAAAGTGAGGACCTGTCTCTATAAATAATAAGAAAAATTGGCCGAGCCTGGTGGCACATGCCTGTAGTCCAGCTACTCAGGAAACTGAGGTGACAGGATTGCTTGATTCCGGGAGGTCAAGGCTGCAGGAAAATGGATTCCTTCAAACGTCAGCTAGTGAGGGGCTAGGCTGGCAGACAGAACTGAGTCTGTGTGGCCCCAAAGCCTGTGCTAGTGCCTCAGAGCCACATAAGATCCAGCACTGTGGGAGGCAGGCTTGACAGTGCCTGTTCAGGTTCACTGTGGCACAAAGCAGGGCCTGCAGCTCGCAGGAACCCCAGGCCACCCATGCACGGCTGCCTCTGCCCCTGAGAATGCTTCTCCAGGATAGGCTTAGGAACGGCTGCTGTGAAGAACATGGATAAAAACAATTCTAAATATATGTCCACCTAATAGCAGCACATCAAAATACATGAAACAAAGACAAATAGAACTAAAGGAAGAGAGACAAATCCACCATCCTAGTGCAAGACTGACCACACCCTTCTCAGTAACTGAAGGAACAGGTAGACTGTTAAAGTAAACTAAATATGGCCTTGATCCATCTCACCTAGAGTTTAGCAATTTTATTTACCTTCAAATTAACCACCTCAGGCATCAGCAGTCCTTGCTATTATGAGAGGGTCCCATTCATTTTCTTTTTCCCTCTCCCTCTTTCTTTCTCTCTCTCTCTTTCTTTTTGAGACAGTTTCACTTTTGTTGCCCAGGCTGGAGTGCAACGGCGCGATCTTGGCTCAATGTAACCTCTGACTCCTGATTTCAAGTCATTTGCCTGCCTCAGCCTCTGAACTAGCTGGGATTACAGGCATGTGCCACTATGCCTGGCTAATTTTTATGTTTTTAGTAGAGACAGGGTTTCACCATGTTGGTGAGGCAGGTCCCGAACTCCTGACCTCAGGTGGTTCACCTGCCTTGGCCTCCCAAAGTGCTGGGATTACAGAGGTGAGTCACTGCGCCTGGCCCATTTTCTTTTTTTTCCCCTAGAAGGAGTCTCGCTCGGTCACCCAGACTGAAGTGCAGTGGCGTGATCTTGGCTCACTGCAACCTCCACCTCCCAGGTTCAAGCACTTCTCCTCCCTCAGCCTCCCCAGTAGCTGGGATTACAGGTGTCTGCCATTACACTCAGCTAATTTTTTGTATTTTTAGTAGAGATTGGGTTTTACCATATTGGCCAGGATGGTCTCAAACTCCTTGACCTTCTGATCCACCCACTTTGGCCTCCCAAAGTGCTGGGATTACAGGCATGAGCCATTGCGTCTGGCTCCCATTTTATTTTCTATTTCGTTAATTTGTATGCTTATATTTATAATTTCTTCCTTGAGTTTGATATGTGCGTTTTTCTGACTTTTTGAGGTGCATACGTGGCTGAATTTTCAGGCTTTCTTCTTAAGAGATGCCACTGAGGCTGAAATTTCCTTCTATGCACTGCTTTAGTAATACTCAACCAATTCTGATCAATAGTACTTATGAAATCATTTATTTCAAAATATATATATGTTTTTTGAGACAGAGTTTTTCTCTTGTCACCCAGGTTGGAGTGCCACAGCACAATCTTGGCTCACTGCAACCTCTGGCTGTCGGATTTAAGCAATTCTCCTGCCTCAGCCTCCCAAATAGCTGGGATTACACTTGCCTGCCACCATACCTAGCTAATTTTATATTTTTGGTAGAGATGGGTTTCACTATGTTGGCCAGGCTGGTCTCGAACTCCTGACCTCAGGTGATCTACCTGCCTCAGCCTCCCAAAGTGCTGAGATTACAGGGGTGAGCCACCACGCCCAGCATGATTTCAAAATATTTTATTTTAATTAATTTATTTATTTTTGGAGACGGAGTCTCACTCTGACACCAGGCTGGAGTGCAGTGACACAATCTCAGCTCACTGCAACCTCCACCTTCAGGCTCAAGTGATTCTTTGCTTCAGCCTCCCAAGCAGCTGGGACTACAAGCACACACCACCACGTCCAGCTAATCAAAAAAATTTTTTTAGTAGAGACGGGGTTTCACCATGTTGCTCAGGATGGTCTTGGATCTCTTGACCTCGTGATCCGCCCACCTCAGCCTCCCAAAGTGCTGGGATTACAGGCGTGAGCCACCACACCCGGCCTTATTTTATTTTTGAGACAGAGTTTTGCTCTTGTTGCCCAGGCTGGAGTGCAATGGCATGATATCAGCTCACCCGGGATCAAGTGACTCTCCTGCCTCAGCCTCCCGAGTAGCTGGGATTATAGGCATGCACCACCATGCCCAGCTAATTTTGTGTTTTTAGTAGAGATGGGGTTTCTCCACGTTGGTCAGGCTGGTTTCAAACTCCTGACCTCAAGTAATCCACCCGTCTCGGCCTCCACCGTGCTGGGATTACAGGTGTAAGCCATCTCGCCCAGCCTATTTAAAAATATTTTGCCGGGCGTGGTGGCTCAAGCCTGTAATCCCAGCACTTTGGGAGGCCAAGGTGGGTGGATCACGAGGTCGAGAGATCGAAACCATCCTGGTCAACGTGGTGAAACCCCGTCTCTACTAAACATACAAAAAATTAGCTGGGCATGGTGGCGCGTGCCTGTAGTCCCAGCTACTCAGGAGGCTGAGGCAGGAGAATTGCTTGAACCCAGGAGGCGGAGGTTGCGGTGAGCCGAGATCGCGCCATTGCACTCCAGCCTGGGTAACAAGAGCGAAACTCCGTCTCAAAAAAAAAAAAAAAAAAAAAAAAATTTTAAAATTTCCATTGTGATTTTTAAATTTGACCTATTGGTTATTTGAAATTGTATTTCTTAATTGTAAACATATAGGAGTTTTCTATGTTTTTACATAGAAATTTTTATGTTTTTCGAGATGGCTTCTTGCTCTGTCACCCAGGATGGAGTCCAATGCTGTGAGGATAGCTCACTGCAGCCTTGACCTTCTGGGCTCAGGAGATCCTCCTGCCTCAGTCTCCTGAGTAGCTGGGACTACAGGTGTATGCCTTGATGAACTGTGATGAAACCATCACCGTAATAAAAATAGTAAAAATACCAATCCCCTAGAAAGCTTCCTCATGTCCTTTTGTAATTTATTGTACTAATTTCAGTTATTCTATTTTTCAGGTCTAAAATTCTATTTAATTCCTTTTTTAAAACTGCTAACTTTTATTGTAACTATAATGAAATAAAACTATTTCACATCTTGCTGAAATTTTTAATTTTTTTTTTTTTTTTTGAGACGGAGTTTCGCTCTTGTTACCCAGGCTGGAGTGCAATGGTGCAATCTCGGCTCACCGCAACCTCCACCTCCTGGGTTCAGGCAATTCTCCTGCCTCAGCCTCCTGAGTAGCTGGGATTACAGGCACGTGCCACCATGCCCAGCTAACTTTTTGTATTTTTAGTAGAGACGGGGTTTCACCATGTTGACCAGGATGGTCTTGATCTCTTGACCTTGTGATCCACCCGCCTTGGCCTCCCAAAGTGCTGGGATTACAGGCTTGAGCCACCGTGCCTGGCCTAATTTTGTCTTTTATCTCCTTAAACATAGCAAGCATATGATACCTGAGCTCGTGTGTTTCTTTTGTTCGTGTTGTTTTGTATTTTTGTTTACCTATCTTTGATTTTGTTTGCTTTTACTAGTCACCCTAGAGCACTAATAACCTGGGATCACTTTAATCCAAAATTAGCTAATGGGCTTTTTCTGGGCCACCCTGCCCTTCAGTTAGTGCAATCAAAGCTGGGGGCAGGGTGTGGATGGGGTGCTGGTTACTTCCTGGTCAACCTTACTTCTAGCGTGCAGTCCTGTGTTGTGCCTAACCAAAGCTTTCAGGATCTCCCAGGCTAGATCCAAGGTTTAATTAAAACTAAGTCCAATTTTTATTCCCCTAACTCTGAGAAACAATGAAAAATTTAGATAAACTTCCAGCCTCTTCACGATCAGCAGATATGACCAGGGCAAAAGCTGCTTTGTATGCTGAACTTCCATCCCTGAGCAGGGTAGGCCATTTACCTCACTGTCTCGTAGGCTCCTCCAAGCAGATGTTCTCTCATTTTGGCTAGTTTTTCTGGCAATCCTCAGCAGGTGAGCTGGTCTGAATTACCCAGTCTGCCTTTACTGCAAGTGGAAGCATCTCTCCAGTCTCATCTTAACCTGCTCTTGTCAACCATGTCCCCCCACGACCCTACAGTGACGATTCTTCCCAGCGCTGCTGACAAACTCAGTCTTGCCAAATAGAATGGTCAGCTCTTTGTCTTCTTTCTTGACCAGCTGGTAGCATATGACAGAGTTCACTCTCAGTCCTCCTTGTAACCCTTTCTGCCCTGAACTTCTAGAGCCCCCCATGCTCCTGCTTTTACCGCTCCTACCTGTGGCTCCTTTGGCATCTTCTCTGTTGGCCCCTCCTCTGAGCCTCTGCCTGCTGGTGTGGCCCTTGCCTTCGCTTTTGACCCTCTTCTCTATCTGCACTCACTGATAGGCATTTGGCTGTAATTGTGCCTATGAGCTATG